AGACCATTACTATAGAATGTGAACTAGGGTCCAAGGCAGGGAGGTGGGAGCAGAGGGGTGGGGAAGAGTGGTAGGGGTGGGAGCTTAATCACAGGGTCACAAAATTTGATGTGTGGCAGAAGGGAGGTGGAAAGGAAAAGAGGAGAATCCAATGTGAAAACAATGTATATGAATTTTGTAATTAAACCAGTATAAAACAAAAATTTTATTTTTTTTTTTAAAAAACCAAGCCTAAAATAACTCCTCAAGATAAGACAAATGTATACAGAATAATGGTTATCAGTTGTTACTAGAAGCGGAGCTAAGAAGAAAAAGGGAGCATTAATGGTGATGAAAATTTCATAGTGATTAAAGATAAGGCTGCTGATTAGTATAATTGTTGTTAATAAATCATACAGGTATAAAAAGTTTAACAGGCAAAAACTATGTGATGTGATATATATGTATACACATACAGCAAGAACAGAAACAAAATCTGTGCTGCTGATATGCAACCAAAAACATGGGATTTGCCTTTTTTTGGATATCCCAGTTAATTTGCCTAATTACTTAATTCATTACATAGTGTACTGAGTCGTAAAAGTTTGTGAACAGTCATCTAAGGTACAACAAGTCTTTATTCATCTCTCGCTACAAAAATAGCAGAACCAGGGATGTTGTTCTGAGTATGAATCATTAGCAACTTTATGAACAATGGATCTGAACTTTACCTAACCTATGCCATCTCTATCATCTCTGATATACTTGAGCCTATTATTATAGTAAAGACATCTTACTGAGGATCATCCAGTCTTTCACTAACCCATCATCTTTCCAAGTATGAAGTCCTTTTCTAAGATTGGCCCCTCTTATCAACATGCCCAACATTCTTATTATTTTCTTCTTCTTCTCCTTCTCCTTCTTCTTCTTCCTCCTCTTATTATCAACATGCTTCACCATTCTTGCCTCCAGGGAGCACCTTAGCTATACTTTCTCCAATATATATTTGCTCTCTTTGCAGTCCAAGGAATATGTGGTATTCTTCTCCAGCACCACTACTCAAAGGCATTGATTATTCTTCTGTCATCCTAGTCATTGTCCAACTTTCAGATGCATAACAAGTACCTGAAATGATCTCAGGCTAAATTTGACGCATCTTGGTCTTTACACTGACATTCTTGCTTCTTAATGACTTAGAGAGATCCTTGACAGCAGATTTACCCAATGTAAGACTGTCTCTACATCAACAGAGAACTTCCAGATGTGCAGGTTAAGTTTAGAAGAGGCCATGGTACTAGGGATGTTATAGCTAATGTTAGATAGATCTTGGCAGAAAGTAGAGAGTACCAGAGGAATGTCTATCTGTGCTTCACTGACTATGCAAAGGCGTTTGACTGTGCTGACTCTGAGAAGAATGGGAATCCCAGGAACATTTGATTGCGCTTATGCGAAACCCATTTTTTTTCCTCTCGAACAGAGCAGGGAAAAACTGAATGGTTCAAAATTGGGAAGGGTGTGCGCCAGGGATGTGTCCTATCTCCATAACTTTTCAACCTGTATGCAGAGCAGATTATCTGAGAGGCTGGGCTCTATAAGGAGATGCGTGGCGTTAGGATTGGTGGAAGAGCTATCAACAATCTGCATTATACAGATGACACAACCTTGCTCGCTGAAACTGAGGAGGACCCCATGAACGTATTGCAGAGGGTCAAGGACTGTAGCCTTCAGTATGGACTGAGGCTCAATGTCAAGAAGACAAAGATTCTCACCACTGGACCAACTGGCAGCGTCAGGATGGATGGCAAAGAGATTGAGATTGTTCACAGCTTCAGTTTGCTCGGCTCCATGGTCAACACTATTGGCACCGGTAGCCAGGAAATCAAAAAACGTATTGCGATGGGAAAGTCTGCTGTCAGGGACCTCTCTAAAGTACTGAAGAGCAATGGTGTCTCTTTGGAGACGAAGGTGCACCTGATACAGGCCATCTTCTTTGCAATCACTTGTTATGCATCAGAGAGCTAGACAATAACTAGGGAGGACAGAAGGAGAATTGATGCCTTTGAGCTGTGGTGCTGGAGTAGAGCCAAGAAAACAGATTCATCCTGGAGAGGGTTAAACCAGGCTACTCCCTGGAGGCAAGGATTCTGGGGCTTTGTCTGACATACTTTGGACATGTTGCGAGGAGAGACAGGTCTTTGGAGAGGGACATCATGCTGGGTAGAGTAGAGGGACAGCGCAGGAGGGGAAGACCCTCTATGAGGTGGATTGATTCAGTGGCTTGGGTAATCGGGATGGGTGTGTCAGAGGCAGTGCGATTGGCACAGGATAGAGCACGGTTTAGGGCTGTTGTGCATAGTGTCACTATGAGTTGCAGACGACTCGACGGCACATAACAACAACAACATGCGAAACCTATAATTGGACCAAGAGGCAGTAGTTAGAACAGAGGGAGGAGACACTGCAAGGTTCAAAATTGGAAAGAGTATCTCCCAGGGATGTATTCTGTCTCCATACCTTTTCAATCTGTATGCAGAACAGATCATCCAGGACACTGGGCTATATGAAGAGGAATGTGGCATCAGGATTAGAGGAAGATTCATCAACAACCTGCGTTATGCAGATGACACAAACCTGATTGCTGAAACTGAGGAGGACCTGCAGTGCTTGCTGCAGAAAAGGTCAAAGACTGAAGCCTTCAATACGGATTGAAGCTCAACATCAAGAAAACAAAGATTCTCACCACTGGGCCAAATTGGTAGCATCATTATGGATGGTGAAGAGATTGATATTGTTAACAGTTTTAGTTTGCTTGGCTCCACAATCAACTCTTGGTACCAGCAGCCAGGAAATCAAGACACAAATTGCATTGGGAAAATCAGCTGTCAGGGACCTCTCCAGAGTACTGAAGAGCAATAACGTCAGGCTGGAGACGAAGGTGCTCCTGATCCAGTCTTCGCAATTGTGTGCTATGCGTAATAGAGCTGGACAGTGACTAGGGATGATAGGGAATTGCTCCCTTTGAGCTGTGGTGCTGGAGAAGAGTGTTGGATATATACCATCGAATGCTAGGAGAACAGAGAGGTTTGTCCTGGAGAGAGTGAAACTGGGCTGCGACTTAGAGTCAAGGATTCTGAAGCTTCATCTGACATACTTTGGGCATGGTGCAAGGAGGGACCAGTCCTTGGAGAGGGACATCATGTTTGGGAAAGTGGAGGGAGATAGATCAATTCAGTAACTTGGGTCATGGGATTAGGGTGTCAGAGATAGTACGGTTGGCACAGGACAGAGCAAGGTTTAGGCATCTTGTATACAGGGCCACTATGACTCACAAGTTATAACAACAACAATAAATACCTTTTTAATCTTTATTTGGAACAGATCATTAGAGAGGGTGTACCTCATAAGAAGGAATGGGGCATCAGGATTGGAAGAAACTTATCAACCACCTGTGATATGCAGATGACACAACCCTACTTGCTAAAACTGAGGAGGATCTGAGTTGTTTGCTGCAGCAGGTCAAGGACTACAGTCTTCAATATGGAGTGAAGCTTAACATCAAGAAGACAAAGATTCTCATCATTGGGTCAACTAGCAGCACCATGATAGATGGAGAAGAGACTGGGATTGCGAACAATTTCAGCCTGCTTGGTTTGACAATCAACAGTCTTGGCACCAGCAGTCAGGAAATCAAATGATGAACTGTATTAGGAAAATATGATGTCAGAAACATCTCCAGAGTGCTAAAGAACAATGATGTCAATTTGCAGAATAAAGTGAATCTGATCCAGGCCATGGTATTCCCAATTACTTGTTATGCTTCAGAGAGCTAGACAATGAGTAAGGATGATAAAGAAGAATTAGCATCTTTGAGTTGTGCTGCTGGAGGAAGAGTACTGAACATCCATGGACTGCCGAGAGAATAAACAAATCTATCCTGCAGATGGTATAACCAAGTTTCTCCTTGGAGGTTAGGATTTTGAAGCTGCACCTCACAAACTTTGGTCATGTGGCCAAGAGGAACCAGCTCATGAAGAAGGACATCATACTTTGAAGGGGGGAGGGACCACACAGAAGACGACGACTCTCGATGAGCTGGACTGACACAGTAACCAGGGCAGCATCTGTTAGCTGAAATACTTCCGTTGGTATACTGAGGTAATGGAGACAAGTGTGCCAGAGAGTGAAATTGGCTCAGGACAGAACATGGTTCAGAGCTATTATGTACAGGGTCATTAACAGTTGCAGGTGACATGATGGCACTTGATAACAACAACAATGCCTGTGTTTATAATTCCATTTTGGAATGGGTTGTCTTTGTCATGGTAATGACCTGGCAATATTAGGAGAGGCCAATTCATGGAAAAAGACATCATGTTTGGAAAGGTTGAGGGTCAGCAAAGGAGGAGAAGATTCTCAATGAGATAGACTGACACAGTGACTGTCAGCAGGATGGTACAGTATAGGGGTACGGTTGAGATACACTGTGACACTTGACAACATCAACATCAGGGAACTAAGAACTTGGTACTGGAAAAGTGGGTTGCTGCTCTAATAGAGTGAATGTGTTCTTCATGTCACAAAGACATGAATTTGGAGAGCCCAAAGGGTAGAGTGTTATGGTTCAAACTGTGCCAACTCAAAATAAGTTTTGTAAACAATCAGCAGAGATGAGGAAAGACAGATGACAAGACAATGAAAAACTCCAATGAACTAAGAAACAGAAACTAAAGAGATAAAGACATTCCTCCGGAGCTCTCAAAGAAATAGTTTACTCAATTCAAACTAAATTCGTGTTAAACTCATCCACTTATGGTGTCTCTTTCACAGCAGCACTAGGTAATTTAAGAAACGTACAGTAGTACTATGTAAACATTCACTGAGAACATAACAGAATACTATTATTTAAGAAAAGTGGGAGAGGTTGGCATGAGGCCACCTCTGTCATCATCATGAGCCCCTGTATCTAAAATAAATGTGTTACTTTGTTGTAGTGGAAAAAAGCTGCTATAATCTCTCCTTACCCAAAGGGGAAGGCGAATAAGGCCTTGAAGACCCAGTAGAGAGTCTTCGTCCAACTGTTTGTACTGTGTCTCCTGGCACCGGGGAGCAGGATCCCAGACGGAGGAAGCCCGTTGGGCTGGTATTAGACCTTCGTACAACTGAAGATCTGAAATGAAAAATCACTCACTTTAAGACACCATCCTATTAACTAAGCATACTGAATATGATTTACATTTATCATTTCTAACCATTCATTCAAATAAAAAATGAGTAAAAACTCATTTATTCAACAGATGATCCATTTCACTCTGTGACGGTTATTTATCATCAATATCCCAACCTCATTTAAAACATAAGAAAACTCGATTTTAACATTCAACTAGCAATTATAATAAAAATGCTTATTTTTGGTTTTTTGTGTTTTTTTTTAAATGCAACAATGAATGAATGAAAATCCAAAATCTCTGTAAATGTTCACAAAAATTAATAAAATAAAATTAAAAAAATGCTTCTTTTCAACAATGAATTAATGGAATCCAAGTTTTCTGTAAACTTTCATTAAAGTATTAATAAAAATTAAAACATTTATTTAAAAAATGCTTCTTTTTGTATGTAAAATAACATCACTAAATCAGAGGATTCTAGAGTCCATAAGAAACCTTAGAGAACAGAGAAAGGTCTAAAAAGTGACTTTTAATTAGGCTGATTCTGTTTCTAAAGAGAACAGATACTTTGTTTATAGGTGCTGTCAAGTCAGCTCACAGTGGCCTTATGCATAAGAGGATGAAACACTGCTCCATCCTTACAATCTTTGCTGTGCTGATTCTCAGTCATTATGTCAATTCATCTCATTGAGGTTTTTCTTTTTTACTGATGTATACTTCTTTTCCAAGTAATATTCTACTCCAGAGAATCTACCATTTCCCCAGTACAATATTATAAAATGAAATTGATGTTCAGCAGTTTTCAGCTAATTAGTAAACTATACCAGGATGAGAATTAAACCCTAACCCTAAAACCTAAAGATTTAGTCATTCTCTTTTATGATAGATACTTGGACCAATCATCAATATGTATATACTGAACACTTATGATGCACAAAGTTATAAAAAGTACTGTACAAGAATAAGGGATATTTAGGTTTTTTCCCCTTCATTTTCTCCTTTAATGTTAACTTTGACAAGTTAATAAATGCATATTCAAAAATAAAATAGGAATACAAGATTAAATAATCCATAATCCCTTGTCTGCAATTTCAAAATAAAAGTTTTTTTTAAAAATATCAAATATTTTAATAAATCTTTTGGGAACCATTTGCAGTAAATTCCAACCTGAACTAATGGGCCCTCATAATTCTTAAGCCTTTCAATATAAATACGAACATCCAGTGGCCTAATATGTATGGAGTTGCACTGCGAACCCAAAGGTAGTAGGCCTCTGCTGGCTGAAATCCACCAGTGACTCCTTCAGAGAAAAGTAGATGATCTCATCTTGGCAATTGTTGTTGTTAAGTGCTGTTGAGTTGTAGATGGCTCACAGCGACCCTATGAACAAAAGCCCTGAACATCTGTATAACTTTCGTCATTTCTCCACGTTTCTGGAGGCAAGCCATTTCAGAAGTGAATGCCATTCTTGCTTCCAAGCTTGTTTTAATTGGGAAGCTCCACCAAACACTGTCTACCATGGGTAAGCATTATCGCATTTGGCACATCAGTGTCACCGTGTTCAGCATCACAGCAGCCACGAGTTACCTCTGTACAGCAAATGGACAGACCAGTGCTCTACCACTTAGAAGAATGTTTGACAACTACATCCTCTGAAATTCACGGGAGGTTCACCTAGAAGTCAGTGTTATTTCAACAGTAATGACAGCAATTAGTGTGAATATGCATACTGAAAAGAATTACTGGTCCACCTCCAACAGACATAGTCCACAATATTCAGTATCTACATATTATATTCACTAAGATCTTATGGCTTAGTGGTAAAGAACTGAACGACCAACTCAAAGGCAATTTGAATCTACCACCTGCTCTGTGGGAAGAAGGTCAACAATCTATTCACATGTGTTTTACATTCTCAGAAAATCCCCTATGAAATCAACTATGAATTGGTTTTATCTCGACAGCACATAACTACAACCATCACCAGGATAACTACCTTTCTAAAAACTGATAAAGTTTATACAGCTCAAATTCTACCATTCATAAAACACTATCTGGTTCAGTCATAAACAAAATTTATAAGATCATGATATATTGATAATAAAGGGAGCTCTGGTGGCCTACTGGCAAAGAAGCTGCACTGCAATCCCAGAGGTACATGCTTCGAATCCACCAGATTCTCTGCTGGAGAAGGAGGGGCAATCTCCTCCTGTACCAGTCAGATCCAATTTGATGGTACACACACACAAATAACAAATTTTTTAAAATAGAATAAATTTCACTGATAATAATGCAGTATCTTTATTTCAAGGAGGAAATGAGGACTGTCATAAGACCTAATTCCTCATGAATAATTCCGGATGTCTAAGGTCTTTCATTCACAATGTGCTTCCTAGCCAATGATTAACTGTTTATTTTGTGCTGAATATTTATTGTTTTAATGAGAGAGATTAGGATACTTATTGTTCTCATGTACTGTCACACAACCAGGGACTAGTAGCAATCCTATACACAATAAATCTGAACCCTGTCCTATTCTGAGCCAATTTCACTGTCTCTGACAGATCTAATCCCATTACCCCAGGTTCCATGCCAATCTCATCCAAGGTCTGACTCTCTTGTGCTGTCCCTTCTACCTTTTTCAAGCATGATGTCCTTCTCTATGGACTGGTCTGTCCTGGTAAAATACTCAAAGTATGTGAGATGCAACTTTAAAATACTTGCCTCCAAGGAGCAGCCTGATTTCACCCTTTCAAGGACAGAACTGTTTGTTCTCTCACGGTTCATTTTATGTTCAATGTTCTTCTCTAGCACAACTCAAAGGCATAGATTCTCCTTCTGTCACCCATAGTTAATGTCCAGTTTTCTGATGCACAGAAAGTAACTGAGAAGACCATGGCCTGGATCAGGTGCATGTTAGTCCCCAGACTAACATCATTACTCTTCAGTACTCTAGAGAGGTCCCTGACAGTAGACTTTCCCAACACAACTCATCTTTGTATTTCTTGCCTGCTGTTGCTAAGACTGTTGACTGTAGAGCCAAGCAAGCTGAAATTGTTAATAACCTCAATCTCTTCTCCATATATCATGGTGTTGCCAACTGACTCAGTGGTGAGAATCTTTGTTTTCATGTTGAGCTTCAATCCATACTGAAAACTATAATTCTTGACTTTCCGCAACAAATGCTTCAGGTCCTACTCAGTTTCATCAAGCAAGACTGTGTCGTCTGAATAAGCAGGTTGTTGATAAGTCTTCCTTCAATCTTGATGCCACATTCCTCCTCATAAAGTCGCACCTCCTGGATGATCCCGCATATAGATAGAAAAGGTATAGCTAGAGGTAGGACACACCCCTAATGTACACCTTTCCAGATTATGAACTATGCAGTGTTTCCTTGCTCTAATGACTGTCTCCTGGTCCAGATATATGTTTTGCATAAGCACAGCCAAGTGTTCAGGGATTCTGATTTTTCTCAAGATTGGCAACAATTTGTTATGATCCACACAGTCAAATGCCTTTGCTTTGTCAAGGAAACACAAATAGATACTTCTTTCGTAATCTGCTTTCAGCCAAAATCTAGTTGACACTGGCGATATTGCCTCTAGTTCTATGGCTTCTTCTAAACCAGCTTATAATTCTAGTAGTTCTTTGTTGATACACTGTACCAGCTGATTCTGGATAACGTTCAGAAGAATTTTGCTTGCATGGATTATTAGTGATATTGTTCACTAATTTCCACATTGACAGGCCATCATTTTTTGGAATGGAAATAAATATGGATATCTCCCAGTTAGTTGGCTATAGAGTTGTCCTCCAGATTTCTTGGCACAACCTAGTGAGCAAGCCTATGATAGCATGTTTGTTCAATTATCTCAATTGGTATTCCATCAATTCCTAGGACCTTATTTTTTTGCCAGTTCCTTCAGAGTACCTTGAACTTCCTCTATCACCATTGCCTCTTGATCATGTATTGTGTTTCTTGAAATTCCTCTGCATCAGCCAATTATTTTTGGTACAGTGACTTTGTGTACTCTTTCCTTCTTCTTTGGATGCTTCCTTGTTGATCAATATTCTTCCCATAACATCCTTAAGTAATACAATTTGAGGCTTAAATTTATTATTTCATTTTTCAGCTTAAAAAAATTTCAAGCAAGTTCAGCCCTTATGATTTTTTACTCCAGCTCCTTGTACATTTCATGCTAATACTTTGCTTTGTCTTCCCAAGGTGTCCTTCAAAATCTTCTGTTCAGATCATTAACGTCTTGATTTCTCCCTTTGCTTTTTGACTTCTTGGCACTTCAGTATAATATTCAGTCTCTTCTGACATCCATCTGGGTCTTTTCTTCTTCCTGTTGTTGTCAAGGACTGCAGCCTTCAGTATGGATTGACACCATCAAGAAAACAGATTCTTATCACTGGGCCAATTGGTAACGTCATGATAGATGGTGCAGAGATTGAGATTGTTAACAACTTTAGTTTGCTTGGCTCCACAATCAATACTCTCGGTACCAGCAGCCAAGAAATTAAAAGACGAACTGCATTGGGAAAGTCTGCTGTCAGAGACCTCACCGATGTACTAAAGAGCAACAACGTCAGTCTGGAGACTAAGGTGCACCGGATACAGGCCAGTCTTTGCAATTACATGCTACACACATAAGAAAGCTGGACAATGACTGTTGGTGTTGTTGTTATGTGCCGTCAAGTCTGCGACTCATAGCGACCCTATGTACAATAGCCGTAAACCGTGCTCTATCCTGTGCCAATCTCATTGCCTCTGAAACACCCATCCCGATTACCCCAGTCATTGAATCAATCCACCTCATAGAGGGTCTTCCCCTCCTGCGTTGTCCCTCCACTCTACCCAGCATGATGTCCGTCTCTAAAGACCTGTCTCTCCTTACAACATGTCCAAAGTATGTCAGGCGAAGCCCCAGAATCCTTGCCTCCAAGGAGCAGCCTGGTTTAACTGTCTCTACGATGAATCTGTTTGTTTTCTTGGTAGTCCATGGTACATTCAATACTCTTCTCCAGCACCACAGCTCAAAGGCATCAATTCTTCTATTCTTCCCTAGTCATTGTCCAACTCTCTGATGCATAAGAAATGACTGCAAAAACCATGGCCTGTATCAGGCGCACCTTAGTCTCCAGAGAGACACCGTTGCTCTTGAGTACTTTAGAGAGGTCCCTAACCTCAGACTTTCCCATCGCAATACGTTTTTTTATTTCCTGGCTACTGGTGCCAAAAGTGTTGACCGTGGAGCCGAGCAAACTGAAGCTGTGAACACTCTCAATCTCTTTGCCATCCATTCTGATGCTACCGATTGGTCCGGTGGTGAGAATTTTTGTCTTTTTGACATTGAGCCTTAATCCATACTGAAGGCTGCAGTCCTTGGCCCTCTGCAGTAAGGGCATGAGGTCCTCCTCAGTTTCAGTGAGTAAAGTTGGGTCATCTGCATTACGCAGATTGTTGATAGATCGTCCACCAATCCTAACGCCACACTTCTCCTCATAGAGCCCAGCCTCTCGGATAATCTGCTCTGCATATAGGTTGAAAAGGTATGGAGATAGGACCCATGCCTGACGTACGTACTTCCTAATTTTGAACCATGCAGTGTTCCCTTCTTCTGTTCTGATGCCTGCCTCCTGGTCCAAGTATACGTTTCCCATTAGCACAATTAAATGTTCTGGGATTCCCATTCTTCTCAGAGTCAGCCACAGTTTGTTATGATCCACGCAGTCAAATGCCTTTGCATAATCAATGAAACACAGATAAATATTTCTCTGGTATTCCTCACTTTCAGCTAAGATCCATCTAACATCAGCTACAATATCTCTAGTACCACGACCCCTTCTAAACTCAGCCTGGACTTCTGGCAGTTCTCTGCTGATGTGCTGTTCCAGTCGTTTTTGGATAATCTTCAGTAGAATCTTGCTTGCATGTGAAATCAATGAGATTGTTCTATAGTTTCCACACTCTGTTGGATTACCTTTCTTTGGGATGGGAACAAATATAGATCTCTTCCAGTCAGTTGGCCAAGTGGTTATTATCCAGATTTCTTGGCACAACCTCGTGAGCACGTCCAGGGCAGCATCTGTTAGCTTAAACATGTCAAATGGTATACCTATCTTTAGCTAATGTCATTGTGTCCAACATATCTACCTCCATCGCCCCAGTTACTGAGTCAATCCATCTCATCCATGGTCTTCCATTCTTGCGTGGTCACTCCACCCTTCCAAGCATAACGACCATCTCCAAGGACTCGTCCCTCCTGACCATGTGCTCAAAGCATGTGAGATGGAGCTTCAAAGTCCTTGTCTCCAAGGAATAGCTTGGTTTCACAGGACAGACCTGTTTCTTCTCTTAGCAGTCCATGAAAACTCTTCTTCAGCACCACAACTCAAACGTATCAATTCTTCTTCTATCATCTTTAGTCATTGTCTAGCTCTCTGATATGTATCAAGTAATTGCAAAGACCATGGCTTGGAGCAGGGACACCTTGGTCTCTAGACTAAGTCTCTAGTACTGCTCTTCAGTACTCTGAAGTCAGGTCCCCTGACAGCAGATTTTCCCAATGTAATTGGTCTTTTGATTTCTGGACTGCTGGTGCCAAGAGATTGTGCAACCAAGCAAGCTTAAATTGTTAACACTCTCAACCTCTTAGATTTCATATAGTTATCTTATTGACTTCAAGCCCTCCAGGTTAATGCTGAGAATTCAGAGATTAGTCTTAGTGGTTCACCTTTTTAGAATATTCTTCATTCCTCTTGCTTTCAGTTTTCTTCTTCTCTTTTTAATTTTGAAAAAAAAGAAATGTGATTAGGATATGTCTTTGTATTTTTCTCTTTTTTTGTATTTTTCTTATGGGATATATCCTATTTGGGGTTCACTCAACCTCTTGAATACAATTTTCTAATTTCTCCCACCAAATCTTCACTAACTTCTTTGGTGTCTTTTTGTCCCTTTATGTTCTGGAATTCTAATGCAGGTTTTAATCTTCTTGATGTTACTTCTTTATGATTTTTATGTTTTCTTCTTTTCCCTTCCTTCTCTTTTAGCTGTTCCTCTAAAGACTGAAATAATTTGTCTTCTGTCTCACTTAGTCTATGCTCAAGTGCTTCAGTTCTACTCTCTGTCCTTCTAATGTGTTAATCTATTTCTGAAATTTTACTCTTACTATTCTGAAATCTAATTTACTTTTTTTTACGTAGCTTCTAATTTTCCACTTATCAAATCACATATCGTTTTTATAATTCTGTTATATTTGTCATTTTATTCAATCTATTAAATGTTCTTTTAAATACTTTATAAAAAATTTCCCATAGCACTTCTTTCTCCGAAAGATTTTGCTGTCTAGTTTGGTCTGGTTTTTGTTTTTTTGGTTTTTTTTTAACTGCTGTCTCTGAGATACTCTGGTGATGTTTTCTTTGTAATTTTTTATTTGTTTTGGTATGTCTGATTGAGTCAAGGAGTGATGGAGTGTGTTGCAACACTTCCTAGTTCTTAGTACTTCATCTCCTGTCTTCTGGTCTATGTGATAGAGGATTGACACATGTGCAGATCTTTGCTATTTGTGTAGAGCAATTTAGGGCAGAAGAGAACAGCATTGGCTGCAGTATGTTGTAGACTGCTTGGGACAGGAGTTTGTCTTTATGTGCCCTGTAAGTAGAGCTCTTAAAGCTGTAAATATGGTTAGGTATTCTTGCTTTCTGATGTCAGGTGGAACAAAGCAAAAGGGCAACAACAAAAAACACTCAAAAAACCAGAAACAAGAATGGACATCAAAGGAAAAAGAACTACCAAAAGTATGACAGGTATAAAAGGAAGGAGAATCAGAACAGAAAGGTAAAAATGTAAGAAAAAGAAAAATGAGAGAGAGAGAAGGGTTGGAAAAGAGGAAAAACATGAGAAAACTCAGTTGAAAAACATAAAGACATAAACACACACACACACACAAGCAAAATGACAAAGCATCAGACAAAAATTCACAAAGTGATGAGAAATAAAAAAATAAGACAGAAAAAAAGAAGGATCCTTAGAGGTCTGTGGACAGGGAACCTGACTGGTGTTCTTGCCACTGCTGTGGTGGGTGGAGGCAAGATATCTAGTCTGGACTGTGTGTCTGCCAGTCCAGCAAAAGTTCAGAATTGGGGCACCTAGTCAGGTCAGTTTCTGCTTTTCTGAGAGGTAGCAGAGGCCTAAAGAAGTGCTTGAGGCCATGTACATCTTATCCAGGAGGTGTGGCGAGGCAGGACACTCAGCTTGAGAAGGAATTTCTACTGGCCTCAGAGGAACTGAGCACAGCTTTTCTAGCTAGGGATGATGTTTTCCCAGTCCAGGGGTTAGATGCAGTCAGATTACCCAGTTAAAGATGGCTAATATGAAGAGATAGACACTTCCAAGCTGAGAGTCAGGAAGCCGCAATTCACAGGGAGTATGCTACTGTAAATGTATCATGTATGCCTGATGTACACCAGATGAGGTACTTGCAAGGGTGCCTGCCTAGTGACAGGCAAGGACCCTAGTCAGAGAAGGGCCTGACTATAAGCCAGGCATGGTACAGTGTACCAGCTCCCAAAGGGAATCACTGAATGTAGAGGCACATACAGGCTACCACAGCAGGTTCCAAATGGTATAGCTCTGGCCTCAGATGGAGCTGAGTCAGAGCCAGAATAACACTGCCATCTTTTAGATGAGTGGTAGAGGTGGCAGGGAAGTCACTCTCTGGATCCATAGTGGGGTATGGAAAAATTGCACAGAAGGAAAAAGATTGTACCTTCTGTTTTTTTCCAGAAGCTGGTGTGGACACCACCAAAGATCCAGTTGCCACGCTGACCAAAGAACCATCCAAAATGGCCACGCCAGGCTATTAACAATATGGTACTCCATCTGTCTCCTTATTTGCTCTTTTTCTTATATTTCATCCTTTAATTTATGTCTGAACTACTTTGTTATCTTTTCCTTTTAAATTCAGGGTTCTAGGATGATTATCTGTATCTGTTATCTTTGTTTGCAAGTATCTTTACTATAAAGGGTTTTGGCTGCTATCTCTCTAATGTGCCATCTTAACTAGAAGTCTTGTTTTTGTACATTTGCACTTTGTGCTGCCAATCTAAAGGTACACAGTTCAAAGACACTAGCTGCTCCAGGACAGGAAGATGGGTAATCTCCTTCCATGAGATTTATCACTTCTGAAAACCAAGGGTGGGGTCAGCTATGAGTCAGTTTTAATTCAAAAGTACACAACAACAATAACTATCCCAGCATAAGGTCTCAGAATATACAAACAATACACATATGCTACAACCAGTAAAATTTCTTCATTTGTGTCTTAAAAATTATTATATTTACAAATATATACATGTACATAGTTTATTCTATCATCCTAAAATATTATTTAAGTACATTAATTGAAAAATATTTTTCATTATTGAATTTTGTACAATGTCTTAACACCAAGAGACTAAATTCTCAAAAACTAGTGTTTTCCATAACAACAAAAATAAATCTTAATGAAATAAATAATAATATAAAGGCGGGGGAGAAGATGCAGTTTACCTTGGAGAACCATGCAGATTTGTGCCAGAGCTGGGGACAGAGGACAGATTCTGCTCTATACGCTGATAATTTCTTATCTGAGTAGGAACTGGGATTGGCATTGTTTCACTATGAGGTGACACTGTAGGCTGACACTGCCTGTAATCATAATTTATTGAAAATGTAAAGTATTAAAAGAATTTTTAAAACAAGGAAACAGAAAGTATTATCAATATTTTTTTTGTTTTTTGCTTTAGAATGTAAGCTCTAATGCATATGTAATAACATGTATAGGAACACTATAAAGTAAGGGGTCCAGAAAAAGCATTTTTACCACAGTTCACATAAGCTGTGATAAACATTCAAAATACGGAAACAATAATCAGAGATGAAAAATTCTCTGGGTACCAACCCTGCCTCTTTTATGTTTTGTTTGGTTATTAAGGTCAGGCTCTTTCCCGCTAATGATACAGATTGACTGGGTTAAGAGAAAGGGTACAGCATTGGCACACAACTTTCTTTCTTTTAAACCATGCAGTGTTCCCTTCCTCGGTTCACACAACAGCCTTTTGGTCAAGGTTTAGGTTTCCTATGAGCAAAATTAAGCATTCTGGGATTCCCAGTTTTCTCAATGTTAACTATAATTTATTATGATCCACACAGTCAAATGTCTTTGCATAGTCAATAAAACACATATAGACATTCTTCTGGTATTCTCTACTTTCAGCCAAGATCTATTTGACATCAGCAATGATGTCCCTGGTACCATGACCTCTTCTAAACTCAGGGTGAACTTATGGCAATTTTCTGTCAATGCATGAGCCAGTAAATAATTAAGAAAATTCTAGAAGATAAATAATCACATCTATATGTGAGGAAATTATTTTACAAACAAAAGTGATGTCAGGAGTCTATTCTTCAAAATGGCTTTTGCCTAGCCATTCGCCTTGACTTTTACCATATGGCTAGGTGTGAATCTGAAATAGGGTGTTTATAAACATTATCAGATTGGTCCATTTTTCTTCATTCCATTCAGTTTAAATTGACCTGATTTAGCAGTGAAGTTAAGAATCTCACATCTCACTGTCAGCAAGGAAGAAGCATATACATATATATATCTCAAGACAGAGATCCCAGTGACAGACAAGGACTTCACCAGAGCACCACGTGCTACAGTGCAGAACCAGAGACAGTTAATTTGGGACTGCTGCCCTACAGAGCCAGAGCCAGAGCCTAGGGCTTTGAATCACACCTGCTGGAGAACTGAGGGGAAATGTCATCCTTCACAGGATGAAGAAAGCTTTGTGATACTGATATAAGCTGTAAGACTGAAAGTCAAATAACCTCTGAGCACATCTGAGAAGCTACTTTGACGAAGGAATTGCATCCTAGTTGCTAACCTGAATTATGACATGTTAACCTCCTGAATTAACCTTATAACCATGAGTATGGTTTTAAGAAGTATATGTGGTCATTGCAATTAATTTTGGAACCAGTACAGCAGTATCACTGGTATTAGAATTACTAGAAGCAGGTGCAGGAGTGTGGAGGTCATGTCTGAATTTATGGGAATTAGTGTGGTAGTGAGGATGTTGCTAACGAGGACTGTTCCCTTTGTGAACTTAACAGAAGGCAGATTCAGCTATCCCCACTCTTCTTGCAATAAATAAATAAATACAAAAACAACTATGAGATATCATCTCACCCCAGTCAAAATAGCAAAATTTAACAGAACAGCAAGCAACAAATGTTGGCGAGGTTGTGGAGAAACTGGAACCCTTATTCACTGTTGGTGGGAGTGTAAAATGGTGCAACCCCTGTGGAAAGCGGTATGGCGCTTTCTCAAAAAGTTGCAAATAGAGATACCATTTGACCCAGCAATTCCACTACTGGGAATATACCCCAAAGAGACCATAACTGACATCCAAGCAGATATAAGCACACCCATGTTTACTGTGGCTTTGTTCACAACAGCAAGGAGTTGGAAACAACTTAAGTGCCCATCAACAAACGAATGGATAGAGAAGCTGTGGTATATTTACACAATGGAATACTATGCTGCATTGAAAAACAAGGAACTCATGCAATATTATTCCAAATGGTTGACTCTGGAGACCATTATGCTGAATGAAGTATCCCAGTCACAAAAGGACAAATATTGCATGGTGCCACTATTGTAAAAGAGGCAATAAATAAATACATAAATTTTAAAAAAATCCCTCATTTGCCATTTAAAGAACTATTCTAACATTCATATGCACCTTGGGGACTGAGAATTGGAAACAAAAAAATCCTCTTCAACAACAGAAAAAGTCTTTATGTCAGCAAAAATCAGTTTTCCCCACTCACATTATGGTATACATTAACCTTGTGTCCCAAAAATATTTTTAGGAAAATGTGTTAGGTAAAAGAACGTGACATTCAAAAGCAAAAATTACTAGAATGTTTATGGAAGTTATGAGCTGCCAGTCATATTGAAGACTGCAGTCTCTGAGCTTCTGAGGGCTGGAGATGCAGGCCATGTGGCAGCAACACCCCAGAAGCACACCAGAAGACAGGCCAGAAAGACCATGAGAGGCAGTACCCAAACGCAGTATGGTGAGAGGCCCAGTGTGGCATCTGATATGGAGACTGAAATGTTCCTGAATAGAAAAACAATGAACACATGGCTACTAACAAAAAGTTGGCAGTTCAAATCTACCCAAAAGCACCTGGAAAAACTGCTTAAAAATCTATTTCTAATCATCACACTGAAATTCCCAAAGAGCACAATTCTACTCATAAGCAGTGGATCAATAATGGTTGATTTTTCTTTTATTTATTTAAAAAAATTAGGGAAGGTGTTTATCGATACAACCAGTGAAGGTACTCTGTATTTCAGAATCCCTAGCAGTGAAATGACTGGTCTTTCTAGTCATAACCTATCCCAGACCACTTAGTTGTGCTCATGCAAAACATATACCTACACCAAAATGCAATTGTTCAAAGAGAACAAATGAAAAATGCATGGTTAAAAATGAAGAAAGTTGTGCATCAAGGCTGTACCCTTTTACTTTGGCTATTCAATCAATAGGCTGAATAAACTGTTGGAGAAGCTGAATTAGATGAAGAAGAATGTGACAGCAGGATCAAAGGAAGAACCATCAACTAGCACTATACAGATGATATAATCTTGTTCACTGAAAGTCAGGAGGACTTGTGGAACTTGTTGCAGAAGATCAAGGACTGCAGCCATCAATATGGACTGCATCTCAACATTTAAGAAAACAAGCCTTAGACTAGAACACTGTAATGAATGGAGAAACAACTAAAGCTATCAATGATGTTATCTTTCTTGGATACACATCAACATCCTTGGTGCCAGCAGTCAAGAAATCAAAAGACAAATAGCAATGGAAAAATCTGTTGTCAGCAATCTCCCTCTCCAGAGTACTAAAGAAAAATGACAACAGTTTAAAGATTGTTTTGAGGTGCATCCAAATGAAGTCAAGGTCTTCTCAATTGCTTGCTATGCACATGAAAACCGGACAATGACTAAGGATGACAGATGCCTTTGACTTGTTCAGTGGTAGAGGGATTTGGGGGTAGATGGGTAGAGGGATTCAGGGGTTCAGGAGTAGAGAGGTAAAGAGGTAGAGGGGTAAAGGGTTTCAGGGGCCAAAAGATTCAAGGGTAGAGAAGTAGAGGGGTTCAAGGGTAAAAGGGTTCAAGTGTGGAGGGGTTCAGGGGATAGAGGGGTAATGGGTAGAGGGGTAGAGTGGTTCAGGGGTAGAGGGGTTCGTGGGCAGAGGAGCACAGGGGTTCAATGGTAGAGGGATAGAGAGGTAGAGGGTTGCAGGGGGAGGTGGGCTCAGGGATAGAGGGGTTTGGGATAGAGGGGTTCAGGAGTAGTGGGGTTCATGGGTTTAGGGGTAGAGGGGTTCAGGGACAGAGGAACAGGGGGCTCAGGGGCAGAGGGGGAGGGGACAGAGGGGCACAGGGGTTCAATGGTAGAGGGGTTCAGGGATAGAGGGGTTCAAGGGGAGGTGGGTTCAGGGGTAGAAAACTATTAAAAGCTTCCTGTACAGGGTTTCTTCTGCTTAACAACCATTCTTTCACTTCTTTATTTTGTTTTTTAAAAAAGCAAAAAAGCTTCCTTGTCCTGAACCAGGACAGCAGCTAGAAAGAGCTATGAGAAAGAGGATAGAATTTGTAGGTCTTGATTAACTAGAGATTTGAAAGTAAATACCCTGATGGTAAATGGATGATAATGAAGTTAAAAAGAGTATTTTCATATAAAGAAGATGAGTTAATGTTGTACAGGTGGGCATGTTATACAGCCATGTGAATATAGAGTTGTAAAGCAAAGTGGTATAGTGGTTATGTGTTTGGCTGCTAACCGAGACATTGATAGTTCAAACTTATCAGCTACTGTGCCAGAGCACAATGAATTCTTCTCCCTTAAAGATTCCAGCCTTGAAAACCCTCTGGGGTAATTCTTCTCGTTTGGGTGACTGTGTGTAGGAACTGACGACGACAGATTTTACAGCCCATCAGAGAGACTCTAGGCTAGAAACACTAACTGAGGAGTTGTTAGGAGCAGATAAAGGTGTGAGTGTTTACTAGTGCAAGTCTAGAAAAGATGAGGAGTTGAGTGTTCAACATGGGCCCTTGGGAAATTTCTTATGCTGCATTTCCTTTTAGGGCCAAATGAGATGTCAGTTTCTAGTTAAAGCAAGCACTCAGCAGGTTTCCAAGGCTGCAGATCTTCACAGGTGGGAAGCGCCCATCTTTTCTCAAGTTGGAGTAGCTGGTGGATTCAAAACACTGACCACTAGTTAGCAGTGTGGCATGTGATGCACTCTCCCATTAGAATTTCTTAGCTGAGAAGTAGAGCCTAAGAAGGTGTCCCAAGGAACAGCAGGAAGAGCAAGAAAATGGGGTCACCTGTAACCTGTGTTATTCAAATGACACCACCTTACTTTCGGAAACTGAAGACCTGAGGCATTTGGTGCAGAGGGTCAAAGACTTCAGCCTTTAATGTGGACTAAAGCTCAACATCAAAAAAACAGATATTTTCACCAAGGGGCCAACTGGCAGCATCAGCCTCACCTTGCTTGGCTCCACAATCAATACTCTTGGTACCAGCAGCCAGGAAAATCTGCTGTCTTGGACCTCTC